AAGTGAATCCGACAAATGCAATGAAAAACAAAACAGTTTGTATTTTGTCACATGGGTGCATGGATGTATTGCAATTTGCAATTGAACAGCATGGTCTCAATAAATCACACTCGCCGCATTTACTTAGGACACAGTGTAATAGCACGAAGCATAATGTTTTATTATTTGTTTTTATATAGCAAGTAAGAGCAGAACAAGAAGAAGAATTTATTAGTAATACCCTTCTAAAAAAAATTCAAGCTTTAAAAAAAGAAAAGGAAACCTTAGCCCATCATTATGAACAAGAAGAAGAATGTTTGACAAATGATCTGTCACGAAAATTAACTCAGGTTAGTTTGGTCAATGAAACTTAAAAATATTTTTTATTTATTTCTTATATTTATATATAGTTTATATTGCTTACAGTTACGACAAGAGAAGTGTAAATTGGAGCAGACTCTAGAACAGGAACAAGAATGTTTAGTTAATCGACTTATGCGTAAAATTGAAAAACTAGAAGCAGAAACCCTTACAAAGCAAACAACATTAGAGCAATTACGGCGTGAAAAAGTTGATTTAGAAAATACTTTGGAACAAGAACAAGAAGCTTTGGTAAATAAACTTTGGAAACGCATGGATAAATTAGAAGCGGAAAAAAGGTAAAATACTTATTTAAGTTTTCATTACATTTTATCAATAATCTAAATTTGAATTTTGATTAGACAATTACAAATAAAATTGGATCAGCCTGTTTCCGATCCAGTACTACCTAGAGATCAAGTAGGACCCAATAAAGGTGAAATGGCTACAAATATAAGTGCACATTTACAACATTTGCGTGGAGAAGTTAACAGATTACGACACCAACTTGATGTTTCTAAAAAAGAAAGCAAGTACATGAAAATAGATATGCTGTTCTAAGCACATTTCAAAGCGATATTCTTTAACACGTTGACTGCGTTCCCACTCTAATTGTGCATTTGTTAGTTCAGCGACATTTGGTATCAGATATACATTTGAAGTAAATTTATATATTTATTGAATTAAATTATAACTAAATTGTTAGTATGTACAGCTGAAAGTTATTTGATCATTGTTTAGTGTGGTTAATAGATATTTTTAAGTATATTATATTCATACACCGTTTGGAAATATGATCATGTGAGAACAGTTACTATTAATTAGAAGCTACTATTATATTATACACGCATAGAAGTAACCACAAAAGAAACTTACTCAGTTAACGTGTTAATGAGTGAAAATAATCAGAATTAATTTGTTTGATGTTGTTTAATATGGTACACATTTACCCTTTTATAAATTTTGTTACTCATATTATAATTGAAATATTGTATTTTTAGATTCCAAGAAAATGGAAAAAATGGCAAAAGAAGAGCGCCAAGTGCGTGAAGACAATTTGCGATTACAAAGAAAGTTACAACTTGAAGTGGAAAGACGTACAGCTCTATGTCGTCATTTATCAGAATCTGAGAGTAGCTTAGAAATGGAAGAAGAACGTCAGTATAACGAAATGGCTTCAAATCGATGCCGAACGTCATCTAGTCCACTCCCATTTCCTCCATCTCCTAGCCAATCTAGGCCCCTTAGTCCTGGATCCACTGCTGGAACACCAGGTAATAAATGTTGCATACCTAATATATATATATAACTAAAAACAATAAATTCAATTTGTCTAAATATTTATGTAATAAGTGAATGCCTACTGTTAATGTTACTGGGTTCTGATGTATGCTCAAATGTTGTTACTTGTTTTGTATTGTACGATAGATGCGACTGAAGCGGGTAGTGTATCTGCATCACCGGAACAGAAAAAAAGGAAGTGCGGTGGTGGAGGTGTAGACGATAAGTGTTTTGTCCATCCGTGAGTTGTGTAAGTAGAGGGCAGATAGCTTTTTGATTAAAAACAAAACCTATAGTGCAGAGACTGTTTATAATGAGATAGAAATATTTATATATTACATACATTTCAATAGGCATTTACTTAATACTATTACTACTCAATTAAAGTTAATGTGTCAAAGCTATTCTCAGTATCAATTTTGTATGTGCGATTTATATAATGTAAATTACATATAATTCCATTGTATAATTGTAGGAGTGTTTCGTGGCGAAATTGGTGTATTGGGCTATGCCAATATGAATCGATGTTATGTTTGTGGCCAAACTGTATCATCGAATCTCGTCATAGGAGCACCGTCAACACCTTTATGTCCCACTACTCAAGTGGTAAGTCAATGCAATTTTATTTTTTCATTGAGTTTAATTCTCTATTATATAAATTAAAAGTATACATATTTCATTCTATGCAGATTAATCAATCTCGAACCCTATCGTTGGGGCGTCCAGTCAGTGAACGTTTTGTTAAGCCAGTAGTGCCACTATCATCTAATATAGTTAATAGTGGCGGTATACCAACCGGATCACAAATTCCCTTGCCCAATCCACCATCACCATCAACTTTGCCTGCAACACTGATGGATTCAGCCAAGTACTAATTTAATCTTATTTATGTACATACATAACAAGCATATATTATATTATCTATGTATGTAATATTTTATTTTTATTGCTTTAATAAGTTGTAAAGTTCAATAAATAATACATTTCAAAAATAATAATATCAGTTAATAAATAATATTTAAGTTTGTGATTTACACTTAAAATCATTTCAAAGTTTAAAAGAATTCAAACTAACAATTAAATAGTAATGGAGAAATCCCTAACAATAAGTTGCCTATGTGCATACTATGCCATTGTATTTTTTTTTATTATTATTATTAATTTATTATTTATGAAAGTTTATTATCATTTTTAACTATAGATTTGGTTGGGTAACATTTGGTAAGAAAATAGAAACCTAGTTCAATGTGATTTGCCACTTATTGTACTAAGCAAATATTTTGTGTAAAGTAATAGTTGAATTTTTTTTCATTTGTAAACTATGTAAAGGTTAAGTTATTTTTGATGTAAAATTGATGATTGGTAAAAGTAAATTATTACCTATTTACATTAATATTTGTTAAATACTATGTTGTCAATTTTCTTTCAACAGCTCTGATAACATTTTTTTTTAAAAATCATATTATTATGGATGTTTTGTTTATAATAACTATAAGTCCTATAATTATAATATAAGTATATGTATCTAATTCTTCAATTAATGATAATTTCTTATAAATATCTTAATTGTTTTTCTTTTCCATACTGCCTGTTCATATTTAAATTACCAATATTATTCATCTGTTAGTAATATAAATTAAAATTATTAACTGTGAAGTCAATTGACTAATATGTCTATATAAGCTATTTAAATTATATTTTTATTTACCTGACATCAATTTTAATTCTTGTGGTAACCAATTTTTTCAGTATTTCATGTTTCAACTTTTAAATAAGAATTGGCAATTGTCAGTTATGCTTAATGAATATGATACTGATATAATTTAATCTGATGATATTTGAGAATCGGAAAATACTTTATAATATGTTGAATTTAATGTCTAAGACAAGGGTGGAGGTAGACACCGCTCTGCTGTACATTAGGAGTTAGTGGGTCACTGCATTGTAGTGTTGTCACTATGGAAGTATATTAATTGCATTACACGATTACCAAAAATATTAATGTGTGAGTGTCCATGGTTGTAAAAGGTAGTTAGTATAATCTTTAAGGGTTTTAAGGTATAAACCACCAGCAATCTGAATTTATTTTTTCGGAGAGCAGTGAAAAATTGTTGGGTGGGTGGTGTAAAAATATTAAATTTGAGTCAAGCCTCCACTGATGTGTTAAATTTGAATTCATTGATAACAAATTATTGGATACCAAAAACCTAAGGGAAGATCTAGGTATATTACTAATACAAGTATATTTATGTAATATATTGTTGCTAATTAAGAGGACTCCACATTGTGTCGGCATTTGTTGTCTCCATCTTACAAATGTACAACACGGGGAATTGTACATTCAAAATAATCATTTTACTCTATAATTTCTAAAACTAGAGAGAATTTACCTATCAAAAGATTTAAAAGCAAGAATATTATGTGAAGCATCTCGGAGGATTTTATCATATTATTCTTACGTAAGTTATGACGATTTTAAAATGTGCGAAAAATGTACTGTTTAAAAATAGTTGTCTTACGTAAAAATAATAATATCGATAAAATTCTCTGAGATGCCCTAGATAATATTCTTGCTTTTAAATTGTATAAGAGGTAAATTCATTCTAATTTTGGAAATAACAGAGTAAAATATGTCACTGTGTATGTGAAATTTGCCATGTTGCACATTTGCAAGACGGAGACAACAAATGCCCGTGTAGCATCTTCTTAAGTAATTTATATAACTATTAGTAATACAGATTGCTGAAAATGTTATTGTGTGTAATATACTTAAAAAGTTTCAAGTACCCATTATAGTACTTTTCAAATACTACAAACTACTAAATTTGTTGTTCTTTGTTTAAATATCTAATTCTATTCACATTTAAACTTAATTTGAAATTATTATCATGTATAGAAAATGATTAAATAAACATTTGGTAAAAAAATTCAAGCACCCACGGTTAACCGTTTTTTTAATTGCAACAAAATAAAAAATGTATTCCTAAATAAAAACATTGTAAATTTTACTTAACTTTTTTTGTTATTACACCAATAATAACTTATAAGTTATGAGGAACTTAATATGTCTTTTTAAAGAAATGTTTTTTTATGAAAAAAGACTTAAATGATTTATGAGAATTCATTGGCTGTAAACACAAGAACTTATATTAAATTGAGTAATTAATAGTTTTATTGGAAAATAAATGTAAAAAATATAAATATCTTCAAACCTCAATATTTTTGATAAGAAAGTCAAAGGAATGTTGGAAGTTGGAATTGTAATTGTTGTGTATACAAACAATTTTCAAATACTTTGCTCGTTTAAAAAAAAAATAAACACAACTAATGGATATGAAAATAAAAATATAAATTTTAAATAAATATTGTATAGTCAGTAATGTTTTATAAAATTCAATCTTAGAACTTAAATCTTAATAAATAATAAAGGGTCAATTAAAAAAAATAAAGCCCCAATATTTTAAAATTATAAAAATATAGACAAAGTCATCTTCAAATTATAAAAGGTATGTAAACAAAAATTGCTTATGAGATGAAATATCCATCGTCTTTAGTGTATTTCACACTGTCAAATGCTTTGGTAGTAGCAGAACAGAATTTTTTTAGGACTGAGTCTCTTAGGCCGCAGTCACTAAGGTTTTGTTGGCCAAATAAGTGTATAGCTTTGTCTTCAGATTTTTGACTGTTACAATATTCTAATATATATGAAAAAATAAAATTATTTCCAAGATATAGTTTTGAATTTATTTGCAATTTATACCTTTTTTTGACTCTGAAGCTAATGTAAAAGGTTTACTGCTCTCCAAGTTGGCAAATGTAGCAGTAAATTTCTTTAAAGACCTTGACAATAAATCACAGAAATTGTAGACTGCATCTGGCAGTACAGGTCCTTTTACTTCTATTGAGTTGTAGCTTTGACCATCCACTTTTACTACACTTTGTCTCACCTAAAATATTTATTAAAATTTCATTTACTTATACAAATACGGGTTGGGACAATGTTTGTTATATAATATCGGAATCCTTACTTTGAGAGGTGTTAAAGTAGCTCCAGTAAATGCTACTGGTGCTAGAAGTGTAGGTGGTATACCTGCATGAGGTCCCGTGTTTGATACTGTTGATCGACAATTTATTAGCCAATTAAATAGGGCTTGTGCTTCAACACCAGTCACAACCACCAAAGACTCTTTTGTACTATCAATTTTTCGTTGACGACTTGACACTAGTTCATTCTAGGAATATATTTTGAAATATAATTACTTATTCTAAATGATTAATGAAATTCTGTAAGAGTACCTGAGAACTTTGTAAGCGTTTGATTTCAGATTTTTCAGCACCCATTGTTTCCAACCAACGTTCAGGTTCTTCATCCTCCCCAATTTTGGCATCTTCTAATGTTTTTTTAGTAAAGAGTTCACTGCTTTGTTCATTCTCTTCGAGTAATGGCATTGTGAACTCTATATCTGTTAAATAATTGAACAGTTATTTTGATGAATATATAAATATACAAATAGAATAACAATACCTTCACGTTTAAGAACATCTCGAAGTCCTTGGGTTGTTGGATATATCATTGCATTCAGCTCTTCATAACCACCAACACTTGAAGCTCTAAAAGTACATGTGAATGCATTGGCCAGAACATAGAAGTATGGACATTGGTTAGCTCGAACAAGCTAATGAAAACTTATCATTAATAAAAATACTAAATATTAGTTATGTGTACCACTATTCTAAATGCTCTCATTGTGTTGTGTATACAGATAAATAAAATAAAAATATTGTAAAACTAATACATTTTAAGCTAAGAACACATTACAGTGGATATTATAATGCATTAAAATCAATTATTTTTTAAAATAAAAACTGAGATTATTTGTTAATTAATTAATTTTATTTTAACATGATACAAACATTGATATGAATTCAGTAAATTTCAGTGGATACCAGAAAAAAAACAATGACCGGATTGTATCACAGTTAAAATCTGAGTTTGATGAGCAAATATAATTGTACGCATTAATAATTTGTTAAATTAAAATTTTTAAATATTACCTGAAATAAAGATCTGAAACTATCAATCCAATGAGTAAAAAGAGACTCTCTAAAAAATTGATTTGCATTAATGGAAGGCACAGAACTGGCTGAATCCTTAATTGCGACACGAGGACCTCTGTGAATGAGATCAACCCAAGGTAAGGATGGATGTTGCCAAGCCATACAGCATTGATGGAATCGACTATTAGGACTAGTATCTAATGAGTTTTCAACGTTCTCGGTGTCTAGACACCTCACAAATCTAAAAGTGTAAAAATTAAAACCTTAATATCAGAAACTGTTAAAAATATACTTACCCGGTTGTAGCCGATGCTTCTTCACATGTTTTTATTTTTTGGCTCCATGGAAACGGGTTTGGAGATAAAAAACGGACTTTAGTTCTTAATGTCCAATCAATTGGTAATTGTATTTCACCTTTGATCTCTTCAACATCCTGAAAAGAATACTGTGATTGAGGTATGGTTAAAATTTAACATTCAATTGTATTTCATACATCTTCAACAACGACCACGGGATTAACCGTGCGAAGAACATCTACAAATGAGATGACGCTTTCATCAAGAGCAGGATACTGAGAAAAGCTGGTCACAGATGGAATGGATTCACAGTCTCGTAACAGCTTAGATAGATTTGAAGTGCAAGCATTATCATCATCATATTCAACCCTGGCTCTTTTTAATGTCTCTCGTGCATCCACTTGCTTTTTGTTCTTGACAGGTGTTTTTCGTCTATGGATAACAATATGTGTTAGGTACAATAATGGTATTATAATTATTGTTATAATCACAATAGTAACAATCCTTGGTCAGGGCTATGGTCGAAGTATCCCTATTGTCCTCACCTAAATGGGTTTTTAGCTGGCGACCTCTGTGAAATCGGCAACCGGCCAGTTGATACCTCTCCCGGAGTGGTTGTGTCCATGGTTTTGACAAATCTTGCTTGCAGTGCACGTTTTTTCATCTTCATTCTGTGCATCTTCATCACGTCTTCCGGACGTTTCCATTTTGGCGGCGTACAGCCGCTGTCCAACTCCAACATTTGACACGATATTTCCGAGCTCCGGCCGGAGTAAAATGGTAAGTAGAACTAAGGACGACAAGTAGTTTCTTATTTCTATGGACTAGTGACTAGAGCAGAGTACTGCGCCAATGATAATTTGTTGTGGTTGTACTACTTGTCTTGTACTTCCTATTAAGTACTTACATTGATTTCGAATGTGATGGCAGATTGGCAGAATGCAACAGACAACAGCAGTTGCAGCAGCAGCTGTTGCTACGTCTTGCCTTGCTGCCCATTAATATCATGATATATTATCACCTCGTTTTTGCCCACCGTTGACGGTTGTTATCATTGAAACCCGCGATTTAAGATTGTATGGTCACGTATGGTTGTCAAACAAACTTTGATAAGATGGCATGGGAAATACAACTACTAGCGCTTTTAGTGGACTATTTTTTTTACGGGTCATACAACTCTGAACTCATTTATACTCATCTTATTAACCTCTGTATACTCATTAGTTATTAGTTGTTACATATTATTATAAGTTAACAACAAAATAAACATTAATTAATACCTAATTAACTAACATTTTAACAAATTCTACTTGATTACCGGTAGCGCTGTAGCCCAAAACCACTGATATAGTTAATGTGGTCATGACTAAATAATTAGCCATAGTTATTTAGCTAGTAACCATGATTATTCTACTATCTATATCTGTGCCTATAAACCACGGACTAAGATATACCTATAGTATATCTTAGTCCGTGCTATAAAGATCATTGGATCACGTGACTTTTTATTCACGATTCTTATCGTATGCCCGCTGCATTTTAAAATAGATCATTGAGCTGGTGTTAGTCAACCATGGTCCATACTACCTTTAAATCGTGCCGAAATAATAGACCTTTTGTAGTGTTATGTCCTTATACTTTTTTGTATATATTAACTAGTATTAACTTTTAAACTATATGGCTGAACCGCTGAAACGTAAACAAATGTTGAGTACATAATAGATATAGCCGATATAGGTACTGTACGTCTGTACAATAATGTACAATATACATTACGAGGACGTTATGGTTATACCCGCATATGTTTTCTCCGTCTTACAAGTGCGTAACATACCAAATTTTAAGCTCAGAAGATCACGTTTAGCTCAGTTAGTTTAAAAATTATAGTGAATTTACCTCTTATTAAAATTAAAGGTAAGATTATTACGGAGGGCTTTTCACGGTTTTTTTTATTATGTTTCAATTTTAAAGAGAGTTATGAGTATTTTAAGTTGTACAAACACTTTACAATTTTTAAATACGTAATCATAACTCTCTTTATAATTGAAATATAATAAAGCCCATGAGAAGCCCTCCGTAATAATCTTATCTTTAATTTTAATAAGTGGTCAATTCACTGTAATTTGTAAGCTAACTGAGCTAAACGTGATCTGCTGAACGTAAAATTTGATATGTTACCTTCTTGTAAGACGGAGACAACACATGCGGGTATAACGTTCTCTTAAATACAATATCTATCTATATAAAAAGGAAAGTCTGTCTGTTCTTTATACTAGCCTAAACGGCTGGACCGATTTTGATGACATTTTTTTGTGGGTGTGTTTGAGTGGTTTCCTGGATGTTTAGATTTACAATTTTATTGAACTCGGTGGGTCCAACCCGGGAAGGTGCTCAAACACAGATTTCGAGATTTACGAAGAAAATTTTTGTTTATAAATGGCTGCTATTGGTTACAGGAGGATTATAAATATATTTAATAGAAATTAGTATATTTTGTTTATTGATTGTCATTAGTTACTCGGATAGATCAGGCAAACCGAATTTTCGCACATTTGCCTGTACCAAGGTGGCTGAATTGCACTCATAGCTGCTCATCGGCTTGTCCGTAATAAAAAAAAAAAACAAAAAGGGAGGTGCTTATAATTTATAATTAACTATATGTACAAAATTAGTTTTATTAATTTTTAAAATAAATTTAAAACTATAGGCTATTTAGTATTAACTATTAATTGAGAAATAATGTGGTGATGTGGGTACCTACCTAAAAGTAATTTAGTATAGTCCAATACATTTGTTAAAGCTTACAATGCTTACATACGTGATACGTCTTGCACTAAATATAATCTAGGCCATTATAATTATTATTTGTGAATTGTAAACATACATACCTACTATTAATTTATCCGAATATTTACATTTTCAGAGAATAGAGTGTTATGTACATGTTACATGTTATATAACATGGGAATAACATTAAACATGTTATAACATATTATAAGTATAGAAGGCCGTATTGAAGGTATTATTATTTAGTTATTATTATATGTGTGTATCCTATATAGGATAATCTAACCATTCATGTTTATATTTTATGTATTCAGAACTAAGAGAAAAATGTATTAAATTTGCAAGCTCTTTTTAAATTTAGTTTTTGCATTAAAGTTTTTTACAAACATTTTTTTGTGCAAAAAGAGAACTGCAGAACATAGGTTTGTGGGTGGTTTTAATATGTCTTAGTTTCCTCAAGCGTAAGTAAATACTTGATAAAATCGTTGAATTGTTTTTTAAATATGCAGTTGGTTTATCATTGCCAAAAGTTGGCATTACAATTCTTGTCTCCTGACCTATATTATGCGTTGAGTTGTGTTAATTTATAGCCTCTTGACAACCATGTACTAGGTATGTAATTTTATTTTGGAAAAAAGCCTCAACATTATGTTCACTTATGAGTTCTAACATTAATCTGACATTGATTCGTCTGCAGACAAAAATCGGGTAAAACGAACACCTGTACCGAATAATTAGTATAGGAAATCTAATATAGTGTGAGGAGTGTATAGAGAATATATTATGTATAGAGTACAGCAATAGATCCTTAATAGCTGCTAAGCATGTATAATATTAACAAATTTATTTTTCACGTTGAATATATCAGTTGGTCATCTATTATGCACGCATCCCGTAATAATTTGGACACATTCCATCGTTTCGTTCTACTTGGACGAGAGTGAACGTGAATTACATAAAAAGAAAAACACACATACCTATGTATAATATAGTAATATACATATACGACATATATATTATATAGTATTATACACTGGCACTCGGCAGTATATTTGGTTGTAAATTGTAATTATTATTACGCCGTATACGTACTTGCTCTTCAAAACTCGTCATGTATGTACATATTATAATATAATTTTCCGGTAATGCCATTAACTTTATTATAATTTAGCGTGACAATAAAATTAACAAATAATAATAGGTAACTGAGGTATACTACGGTATTATGTGTTTGTGATGTTTGTATATTATACAGTACACACAGCTCAATAATAGAGACGCCGGTTGGTTAGGATACTGGACAATTCTTCAATTACCTACCAAAATACACTTATGAATAATTATGATTATTGATTGTAGCATTGTAGTGTAAATGTTCACAGCATATTTGAGCCACGAAACTGGATAATTTGGACATTTTTATCGGTCACCTTGTATTACCTATATACATTTATTATGATCGATAATCCGATAATATTAATTATTGCATTAAATTATTAGAGTACCTACATTTATGTTATGTTTATCGTGTAGGCAGACTCACGGGCGAATAGGCCTACCGGGATACCGGGCGTTTTCCAGAGGGCTCACTTCATATTTCAACAATAGAACAATTTTTCAACTTTCAACGCAATGGCGCTTTGACGGTAAAATATGCATAAACATATGAAGTATTGAAGTATGAAGTAATGAAGTAATAACTCTGACTACTTGAGTGTAATGAAGGTATAATTTTATTAATATTATACAATATAAATTAGAAAAAAGATTTAATTCAGTTTAATAATACTAGTAGATTATTATATAGTTATATGTTTATTGTAATTGTTGAAACTAATGGTTTTCACCAAGTTTCTTAAATAAAAAAAATAAATATTAAGAACTACCATACTACTACAATACCTAACCAATACGAGTATCGGAGTAACCATAATACTAGGCAGGAGCTAATACTATAATCTGTAAACTTATACAATTTTAAATCTATTATTTTCTTGAATCTTGAAGTGGTTATGGCGTATGCGATTTGCGGCAAAAACCAAAAAAAAAAAAATATTTATACCACATTTAAAAATGAATTTTTGTGATTTGTCAGTCTTTTAAGTTTGTAATTTTCACTACCTACATAAAACTAGATAAAAGGGCATTATAGAATCTGCTCAAACGTGTACCTACGAAAATAATAATTTATGTAATTGTTCACCCTACCAAAATTGTAATTTGCACCACATTAAAATAATTATTAATATTTTTATTTTACTTATTTATATGTTTTTTATTCATCAATCTGCAAGATAATTTTATAGATACATATCAATAATAATATTAGAATGTACTAAAAGTAAAATAAAAAATGTAAATTCATATTGTAATTGTATAGGTACCTATATATTGGTGGCGCAAAATAACCCGTGGTCACGGCTATGAAGGGAAAGGCGTGTTATTACTTAGTTGTGTTACAAAATTGATTCTCAAAAATAATTAATAGATTAAGAACTATGAGTTCATTATTGGGTGAATGGTAAAATGTTATCATTTTAAAATTAAAATGAAGTTTTTATACAATTTCTCATGTTATATTCAGATTTCAGCCCAATATTATATACCGTGGTATTTAAATATTTATATATTTGCTAGAGAGCCTTTTTTTCTTATGAAAGGGGCAAAGAACCCTTTTCAAAATTTCCCGGTAGGCTCAAAATTTCATATCCAGTCATAGCTAGGGAAGTACTATTAACTAGTATTAAGTTTTTTTTATATTTTCATATAGATGAAATAAAGATGATGAAATAAATAATAATATATATAATCACTTTTTATTTCCAAAAATTCAATAAACATCTGTATGTTTTTATAAAGTGGGTACTAGGCATGTATTTTTTTTTTTTTATTAAAAAATATTATTCCTTTATACCTGAATTATATAATTTTAAATATTAATATATTATGTATTACATATAAATATTTATTATGTTATAAAAATATTCTTCTGTATGTATTAATGAATCAGTACTCAAGCACGGCGTGATCCATTTACTTAGCTACAGATATTTTTTTTCTATTTTTCTAAATAAATGATATATTTATTTATGTTTTGAAGTATGTATTTATAGGTAGGAAATACCTATAACACAGTGAAGTGTTTATAGAGAAAAAAAATGTTTAACAAAAACTAAAATTGATCATGATAAATATTAATTATTAATAATCAGAAGCAG